GGTCAGGCCTCATTCCTTTACCCTCCATTTCTCTGTTCCGTCGGATTTCGTGTATGCATGCACATACACCCAGTGTGTTTTTCAAGCCTCTGAGCCGGGATTCAAATGGAGGTCAGCCATGTGGATCTGGCTTTAAATGCACAGCACCTGACCACTGTGCTACAAGGCCCATCCCTGTTTATCCATTTTTATGATATCACCGTTCAGTTGTGCATATGGTAGCTTTGTCGTAGGTTTAGAAGTCAAGATCCCCAACTCTTTTTTTCTTTGTTTTGGTTGTAGGGCATTTATGTTCACTGTAAACAGAGATGGGAGAGAGAGAGAGAAAGAAAGTGAGAAATCACCCTTGAGAGGGATTGGTCACTGTGAAATCCCTTCTCCGTTCTCCTCTTAGGACTTCGGGCATAGACACACACACATACAAAGTGTTTTACAAACTGCCGGGTCCAGAACTCGAGCCACAAAGTCAGCCATGTAGGATCCACCCGCCTTAACACCATGCCACTGGTTGGCCCTGTTCTTTCTTTTTAAAATCACTTTGATTATTCTAGGTCCTTTGCATTCCCATATACGTGTAGAATCAGCTTGTCAGCTTCTGTACAGAAGCCTACTGGGATTATGTTGAGTCTCTGTTATTAGGTATGTACATATTTATGATCGTTAGCTCTTTCTGTTGAATTTTTCTTTTATCATAATGAAATGCCTTTCATCTCTGATAGTATTCTTCATCTTGAAGTCTGCTTTGTCTGACATAATGTATCTACTCCAGTGTTTTATGATTACTATTTACAGGACACCTATTTTTCTGTCTTTTGTTTCTACCCATCTGTATCTTTATAGTTAAGATACATCTCTGTATAGTTTGGACTTTTGTTACATCTAGTTTAGTAATCTCAGCCTTTTAATTGGAATGTTTAGCTCATATTTATTTACTGTAATTATTGAAATGTTGAATTTAGCTTAGTTCTTTACATGTCAAGTGTGTTTTTTTCCTCTGGAAACTTTCAAAATTTGCTCTAAGTTTTTTATTTTCAATAGGTAACTAACATGTTCCTAGATATATTTGAGATCCTTCAGCTTCTTGAACTTGTAAATACATGTCTTTCACTATAGTATAGGGTAAATGTGGGCCATTATTTTTCCATAGATCCCCAAGACTTGTATTTCTCAGATTTATTTTTTGCTAAAATTCAGATTGGGTAAATCTTGAACGTTATCTAGCTTTCTATTCACCAGTGATTTCTTCTGTCCTGGTCGATCTACCGTTAAACCTATCTATAAATTTTGTATTTTACCTATTGATATTTTTCCAGGTCCTGAATATTCATTTTTTATGACCTATTTCTTCTGAGAATTGCTGAGATTGTTGATAATAATTATGCAGTCATGTGTTTCTCTTAACAGTTGGCATGCATTCTGAGAAATGTGTCTTCAGGTGATTTATTAATAGGAATTAATGTGAACATCATAGAGTGTACTTATGCATGCTCAGATGACATGGCCTCCTACACACCTAGACCGTGTGGTATATCCTGTCCCAGTCTCGAGGGACCACTATCACATGCATAGTCCATTGTTGACTGGAACATCATTGTACAGCAGATGACTCTAGGTTTTCTTTTCATTTTTAAAGGTATTTCTAATATTTGTCTGAAATCCTTGCCCCTATTTTCTTCATTCAGGTCACCTCAGAATCACCTCAGAGTCATTTTGTAACTTGACCACACAGATTCTGAGAAGTCAGAATGACTTGACCAAAGCCCCATGTTAGTAGCTGTGGAAGAGGGACTCAACCAGAGGCTTCCACTTCCTGTGTTTTCTTCTGCGTTGCACTGTTGTGCCACACTTTCTGTCATGACAGTACCCAGGAAAGTTTACCATCTGGGGGAAGCAGTATGGATAAGAACATGGATTTTCTGGCTAAGTTACGAGTGCTATGTATGAGACTATAGAGATGATAAGTCTGTTCAATATGGGAGCTTTTTTCTATTGCTCTAAATTTGCAAATGTCTCCCAATTAAAAAGTAGCTCACCACTTAGAGCAGGGGTCCCCAACTCCTAGCTCATAGACCAGGGGATGAGTGGGTAAGCGAGCAAAGCTTTATCTGTATTTACAGCCACTCCCCATCACTGGCATTACTGCCTGAGCTCCATCTCTAGTCAAATCAGCAGGCGCATTAATTCTCATAGGAACACAAACCCTATTGTGAACTGCACAGGTGAGGGGTCTAAGTTGTAAACTCTCATAAACCATCTCCCACTCCCCCATCCATGGAAAAATTGCCTTCCACAAAACCTGTCCCTGGTGCCACAAAGGACGGAGACCACTGGCTAAGAGCAAGAGTTTATGTGATCGTGATGGGTTCAGGGTGAGGGTGGACCTGGAGAAACTGAAGGTTAAGTAGCTTTTTGGAGTGTGACTCTAGCAGCCTCAGGGCAGGGGTGGTGTGAAGAAAGCCTGATTTCTCCTTCCACCCTCGTGGACCCTGGCTACCACCAGCGAAGAGTGAACCAGGCTTCCTTTAGGGCTGGCCTTGCTCTCCGCATGATTTCAGGACCCAGTCTCTGAAGCAAAGGCCTTTTACCTATTATCGCTGACCAGCATTTCTTTAGTATGGGAAAAAGATTTTTCCTTTATAATTAATTTTTTCTATTTTTCCAGAGGGTGTGTGTGCTTGCCAAAGAAAGACAGAGAGACAGGGTAGGGAGATAAAGCACCCACCAGGAGGGTGTGGTCATGCCCCCATCTCTCCTCTCCATTTTTCCATGTTGTTGAGATTCGGGGGGCACGCTCGGTGTTTTTTTTCCAGGCCACCAAGACCAGGATTTGAGCCGCATGGTCAGCCATGTGAGATCCCCCTCCCTTTACCACCACAGGGCTGGCCCTGCAGTTAATTTTAAGAGGCTTAAGATGCAAATGACAGGATGAAGTATTTGTGCTAGCATGATAGTTTGGAAAGGGTTGTATCTCACTTTAATCCTCACAACAAGCCACAGAGGTAAAGGAATAGTATCAATAGCTTACAGTCATGAAATCTAAGACATAAAGATGAAGGACTTGTCCAAGATCACACCAGTGAAAGGTGCCAGATCAGAGATTCACACACAAGCAGCCTGGCCCAAGAGCCCGCATCTCAGCTATTTCATGACTAAGAAAGGGAGTCTTGCTCCTGGCTCCAGCAGCTTCACTTTAGGAACAGGTCTTCTCCCTTGTGATTAGACGTGCCTCTCTTTACCCGTTACCTTTGCAGGCATGATCCTAGGTCATTCCCTTTTTTATTTTATTTTTTGCCTTGCATCCTCAGAATACTTTTCAGCTGAGTGCCCAGAAGGTCACTACTCTTCAGTCACAATTAGATACATCCTAGTTGCCCCTCAGAGATCATCTCTAATGACCTCTGGGCTTCTAACTCTGTATCCAAAACTCCTTTGTACTATTGGGTCATAGGGACAGTCATGACTCATTTTTGCATAGAAAAATATGTCATGACTTTTCTGATGACCTAAAATAGAACGGAATTAGTTAAACAGATGGAGATTACTACCAGCAGATTCTTTGGAAAGGACCAGAAACAGTAAATTCAAGAAAAATGTGAAAGTCTGAGACAGGCAGCCTCTTCCTGCCGGCCATTTGTCTTTCCCGAGCTCGTTCGTCTCTGCCGCTGTCAGGGACGCAGCTCCGTGGGGATGGTGCCGTGTGCCGCTCCTGGGACTCCGGAGAGCTTTGCACAGATGTCCTCATGACAGACAGTGACAGATCTTGCTGGCCCTGGTAGTGCAGGGTCCTCGGGTTTCTGTTACGTATCCACGCTGACCCAGAGTATTGGCTGTGGTCCTAGCAACAGGGCGGTGTGGACTCATCAGTCCTTCACAGCGGAAGTTGTGGAGTCCCAGGACATATGTCCCAGGAAGCAGGCTATGAATTGTATGTGACAGAACATCTTACCAGAAGGAATTTTAGGGTTTTTTTTTTTTAATTATATGAAGATATGTGTGCTCATCAGAGAGGGAGGACATAGGGCACGGTCACTCTGCAGATTCCTTCTCCTCCACTTCTCCATCCTGTTGGGCTTGGGGTACACATGCACACATGTCCCGACTGTTTTTCAGGGTGCTGGGGTCACCCATGTGGGATCTGGCTTCCTTAACTAGGAAGACTAGGCTATGGGGCTGGTCCAAATTCTAGTTTTTTAAGCTAAGTTTTAGAACTAGTTTTGCGGGATAAGTAGTTGGCGTAATGACTGCGTCGCTGGACTCCCATGTAGTTGACCATGGTTCAAGTCCTGGACCCGGTGGCTTAACCTCACGCTGGGTTCATGTGTGTGTGTGCCCAAGATCCTGAGAAGAGAATGGAGGAGAAGGGATTGCAGCGTGGCCATCCCCCCTGGGGGGTGATTTCTCGCTTTCTGTCTCTCTGTGTCTATCTTTCTGGCAAGCACATGTGCCCTATAGCCAAAACACTCCCCCCCCCAAAAAAAAAGAACCCCACCTAGTTTTGCAAAGCCATGAAATAGAAGAAAGATAAGGAAAATAAATAGGCTGATAGATTGAAATGGTAAATCCGGCTGTGTGTGGTGTTGCTAGTGTTTTTTGTTTGTCTTTTATGCCCAGTGCTATGACAGACAGTTTTCTAATATCATGCCATTTCCTAGCCAGAAGGACAAAGTTTTAATCCTTGATTGACAATGTTTTTTTTTTTTTACATTTTTTTTTTAAGAGCGATTTTTGCTATAGGGTACGAGTACTTGCTGGAGAGACAGAAAGCGAGATTCACTGCCTAGGAGGGATAGACATGCTGCAGTCCCTTCTCCTCCAGCTTCCTCTCGGTGTTTGGGCATGCACACATGCCTGGAGTGAGTGTTAAGCCACAGGTCTGGGACTTAAACTGCAGTTGGCCATGTGGGAGTCCAGGGACTTAACCATAACGCCACCTGCTGGTCCTGATAATGTCTTTTTAAAATGGCTTTTTTTTGTGTGTTTGTTTGTTTTTTATTGCCCAGGTATTTAAGGAGGAGAAATACTTGAAAGAGGCCATGGAATGCAGTGATGTGATTTGGCAGCGAGGTTTGCTCCGAAAGGGTTATGGGATCTGCCACGGGACTGCCGGAAATGGCTACTCCTTCCTGTCCCTTTACCATCTCACGCAGGAGAAGAAGTACCTCTACCGGGCTTGCAAGGTAAGGACATTTCTAGCCACACAACTTCTGAATGCCCTCGAACGTGCACGCAGTTCAGAAATACAACCCCTCTTTCTCCTTTCCCTTGTTTCTCCCAACTCTGGTTTCTTCTGGCGAAGCCTTGCCCTGAGCTCTGTGAGCCACAGTGTCCTTATCGGTAAAACGGGGATAACAAAGGTAAATAACTTCTGGAAAACACAAGTTCTGGCATCACCCTACCTGACTGAATTACTACCTGGTCCATTCCTTAGTTTTATGACTTTGGGCACATTTCTTCTTCAAGCTATAGTTTCCTCTTTTGTAAGAGTAGGGAAAAATACTACTCACTTCCTGAAGATGTTCCAGAAATAATTGTTGACATAATGTGCAGATCACTGTAACTGTGCGTGCTGAAAATCCCCCAGTCGTTTCCATCGCACCGCAGTCAAAGCCCTGAATGGACAGGGTCCCGGGCTCCTTGGCCCTCCTGCCTCTCCCCCATCCTCACCTCGCTCCAGCTTCCTAGCCCTGCACACTCTAGGCACACTGACCTGTGTCTAAGGGATGAGATGTATCTGGCTTGCTCCCTTTGAGCGTGTTCTCAGCTGTCCCCTTCATTAAGGACATTCTCTCCCCTGAGTTTACACAGCCACTCCTCACTGTTCTGACCTTGTTAACCGTGACGTTCTTGGAGACAGCCTTCGAGGCCTCCAGGTGGAAGGCTCACTCAGTCAGTTGTGTATTTTTGCAGTTTGCAGCGTGTGTGGCGTCAGTAGGATATAGACTCTGGGTCTTAAGTCCTGAACCAGTACTTACAGTGGTAAATAGAAACTTAGTAAATGGGGACCAGCAGTTGGCATAATGGCTATGTCACTGGACTCCCATGTAGTTGACTGCGGTTCAAGTCCTGGACCCGGTGGCTAAAACTCACACTGCGCGTATATGCGTGCCCAAGATCCCAAGAGGAGAATGGAAGAGAAGGGATTGTGGCATGGCCATCCCTCCTGGGGATGATTTCTCACTTTCTGTCTCTCTGTCTCTCTCTGTCTTTCTGGCGAGTGCATGTACCCTATAGCAAAAACCTCTTAAAAAAAAGAAAGAAAGAAAGAAAGAAAGAAAGAAAGAAAGAAAGAAAGAAAGAAAGAAAGAAAGAAAGAAACTTAGTAAATGTGTGCTCAGGACCTGGCAATGAATGGGAAAAGCAAGACGCACTACATCTTATTACAATACGCATTTCACAGGTGTAGTCATAGGCACACAGAAAAAAAGACAGAAAATACACCAAAATGTTTCTGGTGAGCTTTGATCGATGGCAGCATTGTGGTTGATGTATTCATTCTACCTTTGGACAGTGAATATCTGTTGCCATTCTGAAGCTTTTTCTCAGCCTAAGTGGCATGGACCCCTTCTTGTTGGTGCCCTGGAACACACACGTGTTTGTGTAAGATGCTGTGGAGGCTCACAGAGACCGTCCGTGCCTGGTCATGGAATAGCAGCGGTGACATGTAGGCCAAGACCTGAAGGGCAGCTAGAAATTAAGCAAAGGGGAACAAGAGAAGATGTTAAAGGGAAAGAAGAAAGCTGCTTGTTGGAAGCTGGAGGTGGGAGGCACCCTGGGATCTGCATGAAGTTCACTGTGGCCGGAAGCTGGGGGATGAGGCAGAACAGGAGGGAGAATCGAAGAGGTGGGGAGTGACTGGGTTCTGAAGGCTCCAGCCCACTCGATGGTAATTGAAATATTAATAGCAGATGATTAAGTTACTTGGGGAATTTGAAACCCTTTATGGACACAGCTAGTTTTTTAAAATTTTTATATTGTTTATTTATTTTTGAGAGTTTTTTTGCTATAGGGCGCATGCGCTCGCCAGAAAGACAGAGAGACAGAAAGTGAGAAATCACCCCCCAGGGAGGATGACCACCCCACAATCCCTTCTCCTCCGTTCTCCTTTCAGGATCTTGGGCACGCATGCACATGCACACGGCATGAGTTGAAGCCATTGGATCCGGGACTCGAACCGCAATCGACTACATGGGAGTTCAGCGACATAACCATTATGCCAACTGCTGGTCCCCACAGCTGGTTTTTTAAAGATGAAGAGTGGGCAAAGGCCAGAGAAAGTACTTCCCTCTTGGTTCCTAGTTCTCAGCCTGATTATACTTAGAATCCCCAGGGAGCTTCGTGGTGATTCCTGGACCCCACTCTAGACCAATGAAATGAGCAAGCCCAGGCCCTGATATTTTTCAGGCTCCCCAGATGATTTACATGACCTGCCAGCAGTTAATACCAATTTGGAAGATGGGGGTTCATGCGAAGGTTGATAATCCACATAGACTCCTCTTTTAGACAGATTGCTGTGATCCCAATGGAAGAATGAAGTAGAACTTAGGTTTCCCCAAATTGTGCTTTAATAATTAATGCAAGAAACATTGTATTAGAAACCAATGTATTGGTCGTGATAATAAAAATTCAGAAACACTTAGGACATAGAGTTCACAGAACTTAATGCATTTTTTAAATGTGGAAAAGATGGGAATATCTGAATGTCTCCACCTTCTCTAAGAAAACCAGGCAGATGGAATGTCAAACACACTGAGAGAGTGAGAAGATTTGGAGGGTAGAAAGCGGAATACATTTCATTTTACATGTGCTGAGTTTGGTGTTCATTGTGATTATCACAGTTCTTAGTATCAACTGACAAAAATAGTTAATCAGAAAGGGAAAGTTTATTATAATGATACAGAAAAACCATTGAAGAGATCTGAGAAGAAAGGTCGAGGAATTCAGGTGAAAGAGCTGAGAGAGCTAAGGGTCAAGGAGTGTCGCAGGTCAAGAACGGGGCGCTTGCCACGTAGCAGGGTGAGGCCACACGGGAGGCCTGGGTTCAGTTCACAGAAGGCTGGGTGTGTTGTGTGGGCCTTCCCCCCAGCCACTCTGGGGGCTGAGACAGGGAGATCATGAGCTTAAGGCCAGCAGGGGCAACTTAGTGAGACCCTGTCTGAAAAAGCCAGGTGGGGGTGCACGCCTGCAGTCGTACCTGCTCGGGAGACTGAGGCAGGAGGATCACTGGCGAGACTGTCTACAAGAGAGGAAGGAACGTAGTCAAGCCCTCCCTACTGCATGAGGCAGAGCAGTGAATAAAGGTGCTGTTGTGGGGATGAAAGGAAGGGGCCTGGCTTATGTGTTCAAGGAGTGGGACCGAGAATGGCCTGGACCAGGCCTGAGGCTGTTTCCCAGATGAAGCCAGACAAGGTAGCCAGGGAGAGCCAGCACTGATCAGAGCCAGGCTTTTTCTTTCTTTAGGGTAGAATGAGTGTTTGAGTCACTTCCAGAATTCTCACCTGAACGGGCAGGAGGCAGGTGTTGAATCTGTACAGTTCTCTACCTCAGTCTTCCCTACGACTTTTTATTTTATTTTATTTCCAGAGAGTACCTGTGTCCACCAAAGAGAGGCAGAGAAACAGAGAGGGAGAGGAAGAACACCTACCCCCAGGGGAATGGGGATGCCACAATTGCTTTTCCTCCGCTTTTCCATCCTGTTGGGATTTGGGACACACATGTACATGTGCTCAATGTATTTTTCAAGTTTCAGGGCCTGGGATTCGTGCCGGGGTTGGCCACGTGGGATCCGGCTCTGTTAGTCACTTGAGGGCTGGCCTCTGACATTTTGCGGTCAGTACCACCTGACTGATGAGAAACCAGGCAAGGACAAGTGAAAGAACTTGCCGGGTCTCACCCCTCTGGAGAGAGGTGGGCCTGGATCCTAAACACTCTCGTTAGGGAATCTTCCCTTGATTCTTGGTGAACTCATCAGTCTTACCTGCTCCCTTTTCACCAAGCAAAGCTTCGTTCCTAACAGGAAATACCTTTCTTTTAGTTTGCAGAATGGTGTCTAGACTACGGAGCACACGGGTGCCGCATTCCTGACAGACCCTATTCACTCTTTGAAGGTAAGAGTGAGGAAAACTACACTAGGTTTACACATCTGGGCATGAAAGTGGTCCTTCTGCCTCTGTAAACTAGCACTGTTACTTTCGTTCTTGCTTGAGTAATAAATAACAGTGAAGAAATTAGTTTATCCTGAACATTGTATTGAGTCTATTTAGCTTACCTATTTTTTGTTCCTATGAATGTCTTTCAAGTGTTTTTAGGTCTTTTGTGAAGTTTAATTTAAAAAAAAAAATCTAACAAGTTTTAAGTTGCTAGAGGGTACCTGCGTTCCACAGATACACAGAGAGAGAAAGCGTGTGTGGTTATGTCACAGTCCCTTCTCCGTTTCTCCATCCTGCTGGGATTTGGGACACAAACGCACACGTATCCAGCATGGTTTTTAATCCAGGGGGCCTAAGATTCAAAGCATGGTCAGCCATGTGAGATCTAGCTCCCTTACTGGGCTCTGGGACCCGGCCCTTTGAAGCGTAGAAAGCTTGCTCCCCCATGGAAGAAACAATGAGTTTAACCCCTTCTCTGCATTTTCTCTGTGATACTATATATAAGATGCATGTATTGACAGGAATCTTGAACAGTTATTTAAATATGTTCCTTTAAATATATAATGAAGTTTGAGTGATTAATATTAGCAATTAGAAGGATTGTTAATTAGAAAACTTAGTCATTTTTTTAAATGAGCAAATATTGAAGAAAGTTCTGAAGAAGAACCCTAACAAGCAATCAGTAAAAGCAGCAGTTATTCACAGAGTCTGCCACAGGCATGGTCGATAAACTGTAATTCAGGAAAACAAAATAGAAGTCCTACGCAGAGACTCAGGTATTTTTTGTATTTTAATACAGATGTGTACGTGTACATGTGGAGTCATTTATAACATAAGCCACAGAAACCAAAGGGCAAAGGTTAAATGGTGTTGGCATAAACTGCTGATGACATTCCTTTAGAGCCACGTCTTACACCAACCCCATAATTAACTGCAGAAGGAGTAAAGGATTGAGTATTTCCTTTAAAAATCAAATAAATAGGTGTTAAATTTGGTCAAATGTTTTTTTCTGCATCAGTCATTAAGATTGTGTGATTTTTCTTCTTCAGCCTATTAATAATACAAATAGCATTGATTGATTTTTCAGATAATAAGCCACTCTGGTATCTCTGGAATAAACCCCTCACTTGTTCGTGGCATACAGTTCTTTTTAAATGTTGCAGAATTGTTTTTGCTGCTATCTTGTTAAAGACTTTTGCATGCAGGGGCCAGCAGGTGGCGTGGTGATTAAGGGTGCTCGACTCCCACATGGCTAACCGCGGTTTGAACCCTGGATCTGGCAGCTTGCTTTCTCACCTTCTCTCTCTCTCTCCATCTCTTGTGGTCAAATTAAAATAAATAAATAAGACTAAATAAAGTTTGATAAAATAATTCTTAAAAATTTTAAGTAAAAACAAAAAGACTTCTATATGCATATTCATGAAGAATATTGACCTTATTTGTACTGTCTTTATCTGGTTTGTTATCAGGGTAATACTGACCTAATTGAGAAGTATCTTCTACTCTTCTGTTTTCTGGGACAGACTGGTCACTCTTTATTTCTTTTCTTTTTCTTTTTTATTTTTTTAAATTTTTACTAGAGGGTATGTGCTCTTGCTAGAGAGAAACAGAGACAGAGAAAGAGGAAGAGGAAGAGGAGAAAGCCCCCAGTGGGAAATGATTACTGCAATCCTTCTCCTTCAGTTCTCCTTCCTTTCAGGATTGTGGGCACACATGCATACAGGCCCAACATATTTCTCAAGCTTCCAGGTTCAGGATTCAAACCACATGGTCATTCATGTGGGATCCAGCTGCCTTAACTACAAGGCTACAGAGCTGGCTTGCTTACTCTTTATTTATAATGGGTTCAAATAGGTTTAATAGGTTTTCAAGTTTTTAAAATAAGTTTTTGGAACCCTTTCTTTTTTCTTTTTTTTTGGGGGGGGAGGTTTTTGCTACAGTGCGCGTGCGCTCGCCAGACAGACAGAGAGAGACATAGAGACAGAAAGCGAGAAATCACCCCCCAGGGGGGATGGTCACGCTGCAGTCCCTTCTCCTCCATTCTCCTCTCGGGATCTTGGGCACGCATGCACACATGCCCGGTGTGAGTTTTAAGCCACTGGGTCCGGGACACGAACTGTGGTCAACTACGTGGGAGTCCAGTGACATAGCCATTACGCTAACTGCTGGTTCCCTGGAACCCTTTCTTTAAATGGAAACTTACAGGCAAGTCTGGAAACACCTGGTTGTCCTGCAGTAGAAAAACAAAGAAACAATCTGTGATGTACTTAGTACCCAGCAGTCAGGAACCCACTCTTGACTTACAGCATGCGAATAAATCGCAAGAACAGCGTCTAAATGAAGAAGCCAGACACTGGAGGCTCCGTAATGTGATTCCATTCATGTGGAAGTCTCAGAAGGGCAAAACGGTTCTTAATGGGCTAAACTCAGACCAGTGTTCTCCTCTGGGGGACAGGAGGGTCAGAGATAGGCCAGGGAGGCAGATGCAGAACTTCCTGGCTTGAAGGAAATACTCCAGATCTCCCATGGGGGTTTGTTTGACACAGGCATATGCATTTGGCAAAACTCAGAGAAGTACACTTGAGATTTGTGTGTTTTGTTTTATGTGAATTTTATATCAGGAGAAAAACTACACAAACCCTAACCCTAAAAGGAAGGGACTGTTCTGATGGAAGTGAGAGACAGGAGGTCTGGAGTCCTGGGTGGGCTGGTAACCGTCCCCATCCAGACTGCTGCAGCCTGTGTGTGTAGAATTTGAAACCATGTATTTAATTCCCGCAGTGATTTCGGGTGAGGATTTTGATTAAAGCAAAGAATGTTTGTTTCAAAATAGCTTTCTTAGAACGTCAGGAAGATGTAAGATGCAGCCTCCTTGCAGTAAGACTGGAGTGGCTGCGGGAGGGGAAGCCTTACGCACTGGAGTCTAGTTAGCCGCGTCCATTACTTTGGGGAGTGATTCTGTGATATCATCCTCGAGTTCCAAGGTACAGGATTAAAGCGCAATTTTAAAGTGTCAGTGAAGAAAAGTAGTATCGCTACCTGCTGGGCGTTAGTTTTAAGGACTCCTTTGTTTTCTCAGGGAGGTCCTTCTAAGGCCTTCAGCTTTTTCCCGCGTCCTTTTGGTGGCTGGTAAAGGGAATGGCTGCGCAGACACTCCTGCCGTCGGTGCATTCACGAAGGCTCCTCGTTCTCCATTGCAGGCATGGCCGGCGCGATCCACTTCCTCTCTGACATCCTGGTACCAGAGACGTCACGGTTCCCAGCGTTTGAGCTTGGCTCTTGCCAGAGGGATTCAGAGGTGCAAAAAGACAACTGAAACAGCCTTCTGGACCAGAAGTCACCAGATCGCTTAGTGCCTGACAGATCCAGCTGTGAATCCTGAAGGAGGAAGAAACAAGCGAACACCTCCGCAGGCCCCTTTTGTCGAACGACCCTCAGGTCGGAGCGTGAGTGACAGGAGCCATATTCCGCATTTTGTGCCCGTGTCCCTCACAGTGTAAAACAGGAACCCTTCACCCCAGTCCTCCTAGTGTTTGCATGTCTTGGTGTTGTTCGCAGGGGTAAGTTGTCTGAATGGAGAGCCTTCTCTTCTCTTGCGCTCAGAGCTGACCTAGAGTGGCAGCCACTTTTCTGTATATAATCTAGGAAGCGGGGCGTCTCCTATACTGACAACAGGGGCAGGCAGGTGGGGTCTCTCCTATCAGCAGGAGAATCTAGGGTGATACCCCAGTGGTAATGCTTTGTCGTTTTTCCTGTGGGTGCTGTGCAGGGAGTGGGGGAGAAAGAGCACCTACAAAGGCAGAAGAGAAACAGAGCCAGTCAGAGGGGCTCCCAGGCAGTTTGGGAGGTTTGCAGTTGACGACTTTCTCTGCGTTTTGGGTTCACCTGATTGTTTCTAAGAGCCCCAGGGGTGCGTCGCAGCCCCGCGACATGCAGGAAGCTTCTTGCAGTCGGAGGCAGCACAGGCCAGGGGGGTGGACTTCATGATACTGGGTGACATTCCAGGGAAGCCTTTTCATGATCGCACTGAACAGCTAGGACTGAGCATCAGCAGTTCCAGAGCATCCACCCGGGAGTCACTACGAAGCCGACTTCCCCTCAGCCTGCCAGCCTGGCGCCTTACTGCTAGCGGGCAGTGAGCACAGGCCCGTGCTGGTGATGACAGGAAGGCCCTCAGTTGGAACCCGGTGCCTGCAGTTAAGTTAGATGAATACATTCCTTATTTTTTGCCCATTTTTGAGTGATAAAATCAAAAGTACAAGTCTGCATTTATAAGTATGGGAACTGTATGCTCTAACCAAGAAAATTGTATTATCTCTTTGACAGTTTTTATTCAGAGGTTATTTTGGATTGGCAATCCTTTGTAGATTTCAGGGTTTTGTTGTTCTATAAGAGGGTTCACTCTGTTTCATTCCTCCTGCCTCCGCCTCCCAAGTAGCAGAGACTGTGGGTGAGCTCCATCATGACTGGCCTCAGGCTGGGCTGCGGGTGAACTCAGGCCTCCTGTGTGGCCTCAGACTACATTGCAGCAGCATCTTACCGGTGTGCCGCCACGGCTGGGCCTTGATTTCAGTTTTTAGAAGGTTTCTGTCCTCATGGGACAAGTGGTCTGGGGGGGGTCTTAAGAACTCCTCTTGTGAGCTAAGAAATGTATCAGAACAAGACAGGAATCTATTGGTCTAGTCCCAGTCTACAGGGGGCTGTCCAAACAGTCATCAGCTGGTCAGGAGTGGTGGCATGTGCCTGCAATCCTGGCTACTTCAGAAGCTGAGGCAGGAGCATCATGAGTTCAAGGCCAGGCTGGGCAACAGAGTAAGACCCTGTCTCCAAACAAAATTTCTATTGATGCCACCTGAGTCCGCTCTGTGCAGACACTGTTGCTCCATAGTCATAATTATTTTCTCTAAAGTCAGGTTGTCAACTTCCAGGGGTATAAATCCTCACAATTACATTGTGACTGGCTTCCTGGGCTTAGCCCATTGCCTGAGAGCAGGATCCGTGGTCCTGAATGAACTGAGAGCAGTTTTGCAGAAGAGCTCACATGGTATCAGCTCTCATCCAAATAGCACGGTTCCCATCCTCTCCACCCACCTTGTCAGGACAGCGACACACTACAGAGCTTCCTGATGAGGCCCCGTCCGTCTTGTTTCTGGTGGAGTCAGTGGGGCCTCACAGGACTCAGCCAGGGCCTCTGCAGTACAACCCCGGGGTGCACTAGAGTGTTGCTGATAGCAGCACGGAGGCGGGTGATTTATAAAGAACAGTGGTTTATTTGACTCACACTTTTGGTGGCTGTGAAATCTAAAGGCATGAGATTGGCATCAGGCCAACTAGGTCACAACCTAGTCGACAGAAACAGAAATGATGACAGGCACGTGTCGAGAGGGAGACCTGGGGACAGCCATCTCCCTTTTATAATAATCAGCTCTCACAGAAACTAACCCCTGCTCAGGAGTGCTCGAACTCACTGGATCTCGTGAAACATCATTAGTCCATTCACAAGGATACCGCCTCCGTGATCCAAACCACCCACTGAGCCTCAGCTCTTAAAGGTCTTACTGCCTCCCGACGCCACCACACTGAGACCAAATTCCAAAACACATCCTTAGGGACACAAATCATCTAAATCACAACACCCTCTCAGTAAGGAGGCAGCACTCATGGAAGACCAACCGAATGTCTGCAACCAGGAGCAGCAAGAGTGACTTCATTACATGAGCATCTCCCCGGGTGCACTCACTCATGTGCATGTCTGCAAAATACTTCCCAGTCTTTCCAGCACACTGAAGGCAAGTGAGAATACCTGCAGAGGGAATGGAAGAAGTTGTATTTACAGATTTCTACTTTAAGTCAGCTGAGTTGCCCCCTTCTACCAGCAGTAGACACTGCAGATCTGTGATTCGATGTTAGGCCACTCCTTGTGCCTGGGACCCGGGCTGCTGAGGGAGGACAGTCCCAGCTCTCGGTCCCTGAAGGCAGATGAGCAGCGAGGACTTCCCAGGAGAGAGGACTGACAGAAGCCAGTGGAATAGTTACAAGTTTTTGAAATCAAATTTCAGAACATCTCCCGTCCATCTCTTGCATTTGTTTGTGTCCACCACTGTGTGCTCCAGATTGTGTTAAAACAAAAAATATGTACACTCACAATACCATTTTTAAATTTGAACAAAAACAGTGACTGTCCACACAAGTGTTGGGGTTCTTTGGTTTTGTTAGTAAAGGCAGTTTGTGGTGATACCTGTGGGATCTTCATTTGTTCTCCTTTCTCTGCTTGTGTTTGAGAGTTGCCTTGGGTGGGGGCATTTGTGACTGTTTTGAGCATTTGATTCTTCACTTAAAAGAGTGGTGTTTTAGTTGAAGGTCCCTATACACGCGTGACTTTTTCACTCTAACACGACCTTCTAAAACCTGAATAACAAGATGACAACCACAGGTATTACATTTGCATTATGCGACAGCCCCTTTGTCATCACAGTAGTGCGGGTCGTGGGGACTGTTGTTATCACTTCCTAACAAAGGAGAAAGTGGTGGCCTAGCCTGGGGTCATACAGCTAGTACATGGGACAGTCAGGGTACAGAGTGCTTTAAGAAAAAATTCATTTAATTCATTTGTTGTTATTATTTAATTTCACTAGAGAGAGAGAGAGAGAGGAAAGCGAGAAAGCAAGCAAGGCACCGGGTCCAAGACTTGAACTTCTCCCATATGGGAATCCAGTACCTTTCTCTTTTAGAGATTTTTGCTATAGGGCGCATGTGCTCGCCAGACAGACAGAGACAGAAATCACCTCCCCACCACCACCACCAGGGAGACGGCCACGCCACAATCCCTTCTCTTCCATTCTCCTCTCGGGATCTTGGGCACACACAGACATGCGCCTGGCGTGAGTTTTAAGCCACCGGGCCTGGGATTCAAACCATGGTCAACTATATGGGAGTCCAGCGACATAGCCATTACGCTAACTGCTGGTCCCGGGAATCAAGTACCTTTAACCACCATGCCACCTGCTGACCCCAAGGGTACAGACTTCTAAATCGTCCTCAATACCTCGTCCCCTTTGTGCCAGTAAAGAAGGCCAGGCCCTCTGTGGCAATAACGCAGTGCTGAAGCCATATGGAGAGACCCAGGTTTGAGTCCTGAGGGCTCCCTGAGCATGCTGGGCACACACATGCAGACTCATGAAACCAGCTGGCTGAGGCAGTGGTGGATTGCAGTGAAGACCTTGTCAGGGCTATGTCTCTCTTACAGGAAAAATAAACTTTTAATTTAAGAAAAGGAAGTCGGGCCAGTCCCATAGTGCAGTGGTCTGGCACTACACAGAAGAAGCTCGACTCTACACGGCCAACCAGGGCTTGAGTCCCTGCCCCATCAGCTCGAAAAACACACTGAGTGCACACACACATGCCTGACATCCTGACGAAATGGACATTGGAAGAAAAAGGATTGCAACACCACCAGGCCTCGTTAGGGGTGCTCTCTCTCCCCACTCCCATTTGTGTGCCTGAGCCCTCTGGCATTGAAAATAATAATAGTAATTTTAAAATAAAATGAAAAAAGGTAAGTTATTGAAACACGGAAGAAGTGCTACAACTTGGTCATAAGCATGTGGCTGGAAAATGGAAGAAGCGGGCCCACACAAGGCCTGTTCTGTCCCTGTCACCTCCACTGCCCCCTGCCTTTTGGATGAGAGGGACCCTACAACCAGTCATTGCAGTCAAAATCACTTTTAGTTTAGTAAAGCAGTTCTACATCTATCGGTTCACTTACTAAATTCACAGAAACTGCTCCACATTTTAGGTCTCAGTTATGAACTGTCCCCACTGCACCCCAGGCTTCTGAGGCCCCACCTTTCATGAGCCTCAAAATCTGGCCAGAGGCTGGGTGTGCAGTACGGATGGGGCCACTCACTGGCAGAACGTTGTGTGTGGTGATGACCTGGAGAGCTCCCAGTTGTCATCAGCGCTGGTCAGTGGTGAAAGTGTCAGCTTGTGGGGTAAAGAATGCATGCTGACAAGCCAACTTCAAAGCAGGGAGGAGGGGTGCTGTGGGAGGTGGGCAGGGACGGGGGGGT